GACTAGTCTTGTTGCGCCTATCTATTGGTCTCGTGCCAGCCGCTGAAAACCCTCAAGGTTTCGCGTTTAGGCTTTCGTGCTTTCTCCGCCACTGGGTCGGCGGACTGAGCCGGAGGCTCTTAAGTAAGCCACTGCAAGGCAAGTGACCCACATAGTGACGAACAAGGTCTCCCTGAACAGTCTGGGAAGCAAGATGCTTGAGGTTGCAAAGGACAGCGGCCGGGCATCCGGGACTGTGCTTCAACCGGCCTCTTTTTCTTGCATTTGAAGCTTTGGAACATCTAGATGGGGTATTTGTCTAAATTGGGTGGTTGTCAAAATTATGGTCCCTTTTGGATCCCTATTATAATACGGCACCTAATATTTAGAGTACCCCAGAAGGGACCATAATTTCGACAACCACCCAAATGAGGATGCAACATGGACCCCTAAACCCTAAAGCCCTAAACCCTAAAGCCCTAAACCCTAAAGCCTAAACCCTAAACCCTACGTCCTAAAGCCCTAAACCCTGATTCTTGCCCTGGCAGGGCCTCGAAGCCGTACTTGCCGTACTTGCGGGCGAGGTCGTTAATTCGCTTGGCCTCCTCCTGGGGCCATGGAGGCTTAAGGAACCCAGGGTTTAGGGTTTAGGGTTTAGGGTTTAGGGTGGTTTTTGAGTTTCTAAGGTTTCTACGGTTTCTAGGATTTCTAGAGTTTCTAGGATTTCCAGGGTTTGTAGGATTTCTGGGGTTTCTAGGGCTTCTAGGGTTTCTAGGGTTAAAAGTTTTGGGAAACTGTCCGGCTTGGAAAGACCCCATGCGCTTCGATCCAGAAAAAGGGCGAATGCCAGCTGTGCATCTTGACTGGAACACCTCCGCAACCCTAAACCCTAAACCCCTCCAAAATCTAGCACATCTTCTGAACCCTTAAACGCAAACCGCGTGAAGTCTCGCACCTGATCTTGGTCAGACACATCTGCTCCGTCTTGCAACCCAAGGGCTCTCCGCAAGAGTACCAGAATCGCAGACTCTCGGCCCAAGCCCCCAAAATCCTTAAACCCTGAACTCCAAACCCTAAACCCTTAACCCTAAACCCTTAACTCTAAACTTCAAAACCCCAAAAACCCTTCCAAATCTCTGCTCCGCGGCCTCATTTGCCGGCTCCATTAGCCGCCTCTGCAAGGCCTGGGCAAGGCATCCTAAACCCTAAGCCCTAAACCCAATCCTAAACCCCTAAACCCTAAACCCCATAGACCTGAGTAGCCGGAAACCATCAAGCCTCAATCTTGAACCCTGAAACCTAGGACCCCCAGCAACCCAGGAATAAACAAGGCCCTCTCTCTTGTATAAACGAATTTTCAGATAGGAAACAACCGGCCTAACAGAGATGAGCGATGTACTGCGGTCCAATAAGCTTGTGTGTTCGGCTGCATAATCAGAGTACTCCGTGGACGTATTACGATAAGAGCCCTGAACTGCAGCTGGTTTCGGATGTTAAGCGCGCCTCGTCGTAGCCGTTCTGGTAGCGCTTCTGGATGTAGACATACCTGGGGAAGCAGTGTTGGGGGTTTAGGAGTCTCGGCTCTAAAGTTTACATTATGATCGGGCTCGATCAGGTGCCCGGGTTGTAGGGGAGTTCACGCAAACACGGGCTGCACTACATGGGTGCAACGTACAGTCATGAACTGTACAAGCTCAGAACAACGAGATTGGGAGCTTCATGCTTCAAGCTGGGAAGCGTGATGCGAAGCCGCTTGCATAGCAGCTTAGTGTTCAAAGTTTTCTGTAGGGATTGCGGCTTCAGAGGAGATCTCCTCTCCTCTTACATCCTGGCTCAGAGTTCTGAAGTCCAGCTTGCAGAAACACAGGACCCACTTCGACACCCTTGGGGGTGGTGGGGATGGCTATTGGGGTTGTATTAGGATAATGGAAAATATATTGGAAACTACTAATTAGGGTTTAGGGTTCAGGGCTTAGGGATATGTAAGGATAATGGAAAAGAGAATGTAAACTACTATGGTATATAGGGGTAATACTAGGGTTACATAGGGGTATGTTGGGGTAATATTGGTTGTATACTGTATTCTTCTCTAGCGCAGGCCCCTATATGCAAGTGTGCAGAGGCGACTCTAAGTCCCGGAGCCCCCAGCCCTAGATAGGGTCTTAGGGTTTAGGGGTATTCAGGTTTAGGGTATTAAGATTTAGGGTATTAAGGTTTAGGGTATTAAGGTTTAGGGTATTAAGGTTCAGGGTTTGGGATTTAGGGTTTAGGGTATGCTAGCATGCTAGAAGACGATCCCGTATCGTATCCGCTTAAGATTCCCCGTAGTAGTCCCTATATAATCCCCTATACAACCCCCTTTCAGGAGTTTAAACCCTAAACCCTGAACCCTAAATAAAGTGGGCTATATAAAACCTATATAACCCCTTTTAAGAAGTTTAGACTGTAGCTCATACGTGAAAACCTGGTGTTAGCAACAACTTTGGCTCGCCGACCTGGGTTTTAGGGGTTTAGGGTTTAGGGTTTAGGGTTCAGGGTTTTGCCTCCACCCTCCAACCCAAAAACTCCGAAGCACCCCCATCTGAAGCCCAAACCACAGAAGCCCGAACCACAAGCTCTTAGGCCTAGAGCCCCGAGCCAGAGTCGAGACTTTAGGATTTGGGGGCGAGGGCTTAAGGTTCCCTAAAACTTAAACCCTGAGCCCTAAGCCCTAAACCTACACCCTAAACCTGAAGTCCTAAACCCTAAACCCTAGACCCGAAGCCCTCAACCCTAAAACCGAAAGCCTAAACCCAAGCCCTAAGCCCTAAACCCAAAACCCTAGACCTGAAGCCCTAAACCCGAAACCCTAAACCCATACTCTTCAACGTCCCAGCGACGGCGTGCTGTTCATGAACTCCGCAAGGTGAAACCTCGCTGCAGTGCTGGCTTGTAAGGCTTTTAGGGCTTTAAGGGGTTTAGGGTTCAGGGTTTAGGGTTTAGGGTTCAGGGATGAGAGTTTTTAAGGTTTAGGAATTAGGGTTTAGTGTCATTAGGGTTTAGGGTTCAGGGATTAGGGTTTAGGGATTCTTGGGCTTAGGGATCAGGCGGCTGTGCCCTCGACTTCAAAGTCTTAGGTTTCAGGTTGCCGAGATGCAAATTATACCTGCCATGAAACCCTGCAAAACAAGTTATATTTCAAATGTTTGTCGAGGCTTCGGCAGCAAAATGTGTTTTGAAAAGGCTCAAGAACCCTAAAGCCTAAAGCCTAAAGTCTCAACCTTTAAAGCCTACATCCAAAACTTTTCATCACAAACCCTAAAACCCAAGACCCTTCATCATAAACCCTAAACACCCAAGACCCGCAATCATACACCCTAAACCCTACACACCCTAGATCCTAAACCCTAAACCCTAAACCCTAAACCCTACACACCCTAGCCGTAGACTCTGGTCTGCAGTCAGACGGCATGTGCTGCTGGGCGATGTACGCCAGCCGCAGATTCCGGTGCTTGTACACCTGGGCATGCCCTACTACTTGAAGGTTTAAGGTAACTATACTCCGTTGAAGGGTTTAGGGTGTAGGGTGTAGGATCTAGGGTCTACGGCGGAGGGTTTGGGGCTTAGGGTTTCTTGAACCGGGGGTCCTTCAAACGGGTTATAGGGGATAAAGGGTTGTCTTCAGCCCCTTTGAAATCCCCTTCCAACAAATTCTCGGCAGCGCCTCATCTCCCTGAACCCTAATTTAGGGTTTAGGGTTTGAGGGTTTTAAGGTTTAGGGTTTTAGGGTTTGAGGGTTTTAGGGTTTAGGGTTTAGGGTTTAGGGTTTTAGTGTTTTAGAATTTTAGGGTTTTAGGGTTTAGAGCTCTAGACCCTGAACCCCGCGCGGTGCCTCACCCGGTGGCTGCCCATCCGGTCCTGGGACCGGTAGGAGCTCCCCGCAGAGGACATTGAGCAGCGTGCTCTTGCCTGCTTCCCAGACCCATACCCTTTTAAGGGGGTTATATAGGGGTATATGGGGTTTAGGGATTAGGGTTTAGGGGTTAGGGTTTAGGATCCAGGGTTTGGGGGTTAAAGGATCCAAAACATGGAACCACTCAATAATCCCCCTAGATTCCCTAATTTAGCAATGGAGCCATGTTTTTTTGAGGGGGTGGGTGTCCGTTTGTTGGATTCTTTTGGAGGTCTTGGTTTGGGTGTGTATTTAAGCGTGTTAACAGTTTGGGGTTAAGAGTTCAGGGCGCATAGGTTAGGTTTGGGGTTTGGATTAGGGTTTAGGGTTTGGACTTAGGGTTTAGGGTTTGGGTTTTGGGGTTCATAGTGGAAAGGAAAATGGGAACTATTAGAGTCTGTCTGAACGCCCAGGAACAGTGACATTCATGATCATAATGGTGGCAAAGGAAGTACAAAGTGATATGGTACTTGTGCATGGACGTTGACCAGGGTCTTGGATACCGAAAGGAGATCGGTATCATTTAACATCCTGTGAGAGAATGTGCTGTCAGACGTAGCAGGCTTTCATATACACAATTCTGGTCACCTTGAGGTTTATGGCTCTCAGAGAGAAGACATACGATGTGAGACCTTCACATTGTCTGTTGGGTTGCAAATGGAGGGTTTCCAAAAAAATCGAAATTCAATTGGAGCATCGCTCAGGCACTACACGGCATCAAGCGTTAGACCGACAATGGCATGAGATTTCTCGGAGAGAATTGGACGTTATGGAGCTCTGAAATGATTGGTATAAAAAAGAAAAGTTCTGCATGACTTTTTCAGGGGTTGAGGGTTTGAAACCTGGGGAACTACGGTGTTCCAGTATGCTAACGTCATGCAGGGTTCTTATATCAACAGTAGTATGAAAGGCCAATGCTCAATCATAAACAGGCACCAAGGAGCGGAGACGTCACCTTCAACACTAAATCCGCAAGCGTCTTGGCCGGTAAAATAACAAGTAGTAGTCGTAGTAGTAGTAGTAGTAACACCCTTAACCCTAAACCCCTAATAGCAGGACTAGTAATAGCAGTATCCGTCACCATAACAAAAATAAAAATGACCGCATGACTACCCTCAGCCGTATAAGCTTTCTGGGAGCCGCATTTCGAGCCAACCAAATAATCACTTGTCTGATCCAAGTCTACGCAAGGTTACCTAAACCCAAAACCCTAAACCCTAAACCCTTCTGCTTTTAGGGTTCTAGGGGACATAGGGTTTCAGGTGTTAGGGTTTGAGGGGTTCAGTTTTTGGGGTTTAGGGGTGCAGGGTTTAGGTTTTGTTTAACGGTTTTAGGGTTTAGGGCTTGGGGTGAGGTGTACAGGATGACTTGTACTTGCCTCCTTACTACAGTTAGCCCTCTACCCCAAACCCTACAGCCCTAAATCCTAAACCCCTAAAGCCCAAGCCTTGCACAAGACCTCAGACCTTAACGACAATACCCTCCACTCATGTGGGTAGTTGCCTCATGAGTACCCTGTATGAGCTATAGTCTCAACTCCTAGTATCCCAGAATAATCCTGCAATTGCGTACAGGTAGAATCGCCCTTAGGTTTCCCTGTCCCGGTTATCCCAGAAGCGCACCACACCTTTGGCCACTAGCGATCGGTACGAACGCTCCGAGCAGGGTCTGCAGTGCGTCTAGCAATTGGTCATGAATACATTACCACGATTGCTTAGTACTTGAGCCAAACATAAGTGGACACATGTGAGGACTTGTCAATGCACCG